AGACAAATCGCGTTTTTGTAACAATATTAGGATTGTTTTTAGCGTCCGCATCTGATTTGTCTTAGGCGAAAACAAGGCAAGTTTTCGTTTGTTGCAACCGCTGATTTATTGCGACGTAGGAAATATATATTTACTTTATTATAATATTATAAAGAGTAGAAAAATTACAGTGAAACCTCGCTTAACGAGTTTAATCCCTTCCAAAATTTCCGGATTCAAAAATACATATAATATATGTACACAAGTTTTAAAAGTGATGTAGCAGGTGCACAAACCAGGAATTCTCTTCTTTTCTCATCGTCACTCGTTATGCGAAACTTTTCAGCAATTCTTAAAAGATCTATGTGTAGATGATAATTCTTAAATAATGTATAGTCTTTTGTGATTATTTTATTAAAACTAATTTAAAACTAAACGCTCTCTTTTTCACGAAAAACTGAAAAAAAGAATAACGAAAAAAACGTCGTTTCTCAGTTACGTAACGAACATTACGTAACTTTTGTTACATAAAAAGTTGCGCAGCGCTTGCGTGCATCTGATTTTGCAATAAAATCATAAAAAAGTTTATTACTTTCCGAGTTATTGTTGAAAAACTGAAAACATCCATTTTTTGACAAATTCAATTCACTTTTTTTCCAATTTCTACAGCTCATAGCAGGCAACTCGGTGGCAGTACGAAGATGCCAGTAGGCTCGTTGGAAAGGTGAGAAATTCAGCTTTCATACGAGTGGTCAATGATGTAATTATCTTAAGGGGTTGTCGAGACATTCACAAAAAACTGAAAAAAAATCGAAAAAAACGTCGTTTCTCTGTTACGTAACGAACATTACGTAACTTTTGTTACATAAAAAGTTGCGCAGCGCTTGCGTGCATCTGATTTTGCAATAAAATCATAAAAAAGTTTATTACTTTCCGAGTTATTATTGAAAAACTGAAAACATCCATTTTTTGACAAATTCTATTCACTTTTTTTCCAATTTCTACAGCTCATAGCAGGCGACTCGGTGGCAATATGAAGATGCCAGTAGGCTCGATGGAAAGGTGAGACATTCAGCTTTCATACGAGTGGTCAATGATGTAATTATTTTAAGGGGCTGTCGAGAAATTCACGAAAAACTAAAAAAAAATCGAAAAAAACGTCGTTTATCTGTTACGTAACAAACAATACGTAACTTTTGTTACATAAAAAGTTGCGCAACGCTTGCGTGTATCCGATTATGCAATAAAATTGTTTATTACTTTTCGAGTTATTATCGAAAAACTGAAAACATCACCTTTTTTCCACTTTCTACTGCTCATAGCAGGCGACTTGGTTGCAGTACGAAGATGCCAGTAGGCTCGTTCGAAAGGTGAGACATTTAGCTTTCATACAAGTGGTCGATGATTTAAATATCTTTAGGGGTTGTCGAGAAATTCAAGAAAAACTGAAAAAAAGTCGAAAAACGTCGTTTCTCTGTTACGTAACGAACATTGCGTAACATATACATTTTCAGCAATTCTTAAAAAATCTATATGTAGATGATTATTCGTAGATAATGTATAGTCTCTTATGATTATTTTATTGAAACTAATTTACAACTAACGATTTACAATTTACGATTTTGCTATCAGCAGCAATAGATGATTCAACGTGACGCAGACGAGACGCGTTTTCGTATCTATATAAGGCGATTTTTATAATCAACTCTTAATTTTTATTACTTTTCAATCGGTTGTGTTCGACGCGACTCGATTATGCTCGAAGTTCAGTCACTTCGTTTCTATTGTTTTAACGTTTGCGATTCGCGGCACCCGCTGATTCATCACAGCGTAGACGAGGTGCGTTTTCGTGTCCATATAAGGATTGGATTAGCGTTCACGAATCGCAGCTGCAGATGATTCATCGCGACGTAGAGAATAGACGTTTTTGTAACCATATAAGGCAATTTTCAAATGTCTAAAAGCATTTTCATTCAATGGAGTATTTTGAAAGTTACTTGTCAAGTACCGCGTAGATATTTTCCAATAATAGAATATTATGATTTGTAATAATTCAATGTATTAAGTACATTACTTGCAAAAAATCTAATTTTGTGGATTTGAAAGAACTCAAAATTATTAAGTTTTGCAAATTGCAGTATTATTTAATTAACTTCTGATATAAACTTGTAACAGAATTGTTGAACTTTTTTTTAAAATTATCATCAAATAATGTAATATTATTATATTTTATATAAAATTGAAACTTGTTTAGTAAAATGTGAATATCAAAAAGATTGAAATGAGTTATAGTATTATTCGAAGTTTGTTAGTTGTTTGAAGATGTCCCGAGGCTGCAAATTACTTTTGAACAAAAGCAATTATGCAACTTCCTCGACACGCGACACAGTGAGAAAATAGCAAAACGCTGCAGTGATTGATCCGTTCAATTAATTATGTAGATTTTCAATTAACTCCTCATACCGATAAGCCGATTCATCAGAAACGCATCCAACCGGAAATTACGTACCGATTACATGTACACAATCCCGAAACAAAAACACAATAGAACCGAATATCTCGACGACGAAATAACGAATTTTTATCGCTCTCCGACCGCAGAACGTGGATCGATAGCGTTTCCGGTTTTCTTCTATATTTTTTTTTTGAAACCGCGATAATAAAAGTTCATTTACACACGCGGTCCGCATTTAAAAGCGAGCGTTTCTTTCTTCGTTGTATTTTCACAATTAAAGCGCAGGAGTGAAAAGGTTACGTATATATAAATATGCAGGTGAAATGATTTTATCTCGAAATTTATAGCTTTGGTTACTTCTTTGTTCCCATAGCAACCAACAAAAATAGCTATTAGATTGTTTATATTCAAGGGTTCTTTGATACTGTTTGAAGATGCTACAAAATTATACTTAATTAGCTTATAAATAAATAAAGGAAAATCGTCGACCTTTACGAAGCGAGCAAAAAACATCTTGAATAATTAATCGAGTCAACAATTTCGAGTCTTCTTCACTTATTCATTGTAAGAAAAATATTCAACGTTTATTCTATTTCTGAAATAAACGCGAGTAAACTGTTTGCTCTAATTAAGTGCCGAGTGGATTCGTCCCTTCGCGTTTGTACATAAATTTGGGTGAAAATTTTGTTGCGTCGAGTTTAGTAAATTTGCGGATAATGGATGCACGATGAACGTGTCACGAATTTGTCACTGGTCTGTCTAATTTGAATGTATGACAAAGTGATAAAAGCCTTCCGCCCTATTCGACCTGCAAAATGTATACAGAGCGGAGAGAGAACGTTTCATAAATAAACGATTGCCTTTAACAAACAAAAAAATAACATGAGCACCGCTCACCTTGATGCACGTTTTATACTGGCGTCGCTCAATTTTCATTTCCCCCAAAACAAAAAAAAACAAACATGAAAACGCTTTCATTTTCAGCAAAACAAAAAATACAATCAAACGTAAATTAAAGATTTCAAACATTTTGAATTAATCCTTTAATATTAATTAATTCACATTTGTTTGTATAATTGTTTCAATCAAATTATAAATTACACCAAAATTAATTAAGAAACAAAGTAATCTTTGAAAAACAAAAACAAAATATACTACTTCAAATTTGACAGCTACTTTGTATATCATTCAACTTTTTGAAAACTATAAATAATTATTTATAAAATAATCAAAATTTGCAACAATAAATGTAATTATTTAAATTTAAACTAAAATAATTTTGAAAATAAAACTAAATAATCCATTTTTATATCTCGAAATGACGTTTGTTAAATGTCACAAAAAATTAACTCGAAATCCTTGAAAAACTGAAAACTATATTTTATATATTTTGGCTTCATTTCTTCTCTCGAACTTATTATTTATTGTTCTGCATTCTAAATGGGTCCGGGGTATAAATAACGTTCGGACAAGATGATTTAATTCGTTTGATTTATGCATGCAAACGCACACAAATACCAAACGGGTTGCTTTCTCTCTTTTTTTTCGATTAAATAAACCCCCACGCTATTACATATGCGTGAGAGAATCTGGTGGATGCGCCGGGTACGTAATCCAGATTTCGACGCATCCTGAGGGTGGCCGAGAAAGCCCTTTCCATTTCTGCCGTTGTTGTACGTATTTACAGCACATGTAGACATATACATGGAAATAAACATTTCCTTCGGTCTTTTTTTTTCTCTCTCTCTCTAGTACCATCGTTGATGGGAGCATAGAGGGCACATAACGAGCCGTAGCCTCCAGAATGAGTTACAGGTTATTTATAGTGCATTTTGGGAGGCGCGTGCGCCCATCTGGCCGCTTCCGTCGGCTTTCCCTTCTGCATGCACACACAAACATACACTCATATATACACGTACACGGGAGGCGAGAGATGTCCTCTCTGTATTGATCAGAAAAGGGGAGCGACTTTATTTATTTTGCATTGCATCGCGTCCGCGGAGAGGAGAAAGGTGTTTCCACCAGGTTCCGCCCGACCTCAACGGCGGAGGCGTCGGCTGTTGCTTCCGCTTTCCACTTCGATCCCTACTCATTCGCCTTGCTTTTTTTGTCCATTCTGTTTGTTGATGCTTCTATGTCTATGTGTGTGTGTTACGTGACGGCGTTCCGAGTTTGTGTGGGTGAATGCAGTGCCGAATCCAGGAATATTTATACTTTTTCCAATCAGAAATAAAAAAAATTGTAATAGATATATGTTTATATTCAATTGATTATCACAATATTAATAATTATCTTAAAGCAAATTTAATACTAAATTTAGTTAATAAAAATTACTATCATAACTTTATTTACAAGGACAATTATAAATGTAAATTAAGTATAAACTTTATTGTGATAAAGCAAATTTAGTTTGTATTTAGTTGGGTGTAGTAATAATAAATACAGGGATGATGTACGTTGTTGCCCTTTGACCGTATCCTGGATACAGCCCTGATTCGTGGAGTGAGATGGAACGATAGGAGCGGTGGGGGTAGGAAGTGTCCTGGAAGGGGTAGGAACAGCAGAGGGAGAAGGAGGAGAGAATCGCGCTCCTCTAGGTAGTAGGGCTCGCGGTTCTGTCCGGAGAGTCGCAGAAGTCGCGAGAACGGCGATAGAATCGGTCGCAGAATGTCGGGATTTCCCGATATCGTGGAGCTCAACGTCGGCGGGGTGACCTACTCGGCATCCCTGGCCACCCTCACCAATCAGCCGGAGTCTCAGCTGTGCGCCATCTTCACCGGAAACGAACCAATCGCCAAAGACTCCAAAGGGCGCTATTTCCTGGACCGCGACGGCGTTCTCTTCCGCTACATCCTGGACTACCTCCGGGACGGCACCCTCACCCTACCAGAGTGCTTCCGAGAACGGGACCGTCTACGTCGCGAAGCCGAACGCTACAACCTTCCGCACCTGGTGGACCTCATCGCCGACACGTCGCGCTCCAAGGTGCCCGGTTGCATCACAGTCGGCTACCGCGGCAGCTTCCAGTTCGGCAAAGACGGCCTCGCCGACGTCAAGTTCCGCAAGCTCTCGAAGATCCTGGTGTGCGGCAGAGTTCCCCTGATGCGGGACGTCTTCGGCGAAACGTTGAACGAGTCCAGGGATCCCGACCACGGCCTCGCCGAACGCTACACGTCCAGGTTCTTCCTGAAGCACTCCTTCCTCGAGCAGGCTTTCGACATGCTCTACGAGCAGGGCTTCAAGCTGATCGGCAGCTGCGGTTCTGGGACGGCCGGAAGCGCGCTGAGCTCAAACCCGGCGTCGATGCCGAAGAGAACCGCTGGAATCATTATAACGAGTTCGTGTTTGTGCGAGAGTAGAGTGACCAAGAGATCATCCCCATATCCGCAAATTCCACATACACACACACAAAAAGACACCCCAAGACATAAAAAAAAACAAAAAATAAAAGCAAGGGTCGAAGTTTAAAATTGGGCACTTCGCCGCCTCAATTCAAATTACAACAACCACAAAAAAATGCGAGGCATTACCCAATTCTAAATTCCAGCCCCAACCGAGGGACTGAAATAACAACATAACCACTAGGACTCGCTCGATCTCTAAAAGTAAAACACACCAACACAAGCCCTCTCATCAGCAAAACCAGAGAGAGAATCACATATCCCTTTTGATTACGCAATCATCGCAGAGATTGAGCGCAATCAAAAAATACATTATTATTATTATTATTACTATAATAATTTTAGGCACGCACAGAACGCGCGACCCAATTTAACCAGGACTTTTCCCCGGGATTTGCGCATTTCTTCCGAAAACTTCCCTTTAAAATTACATTAATTACCACTCTCAAAGGAGCGCATTTTCCGGCGCTCAGCTCCTCGCAATCTCTTCTTCATCCATTCTAACTTTTTTAACTCGCTCGCATAAATCCCATTCCAAGATCAACTCAAAAGAGAAAACTCAATTTACACACTTCAAAAACACATTTATTTAACACAAATAATTATAAATGAAATTTATAAAATCTACACATGCATTACGTA